TCCAGGAAACCACTTCCTTGTTACAACCACATGTTGTACAAGGAGCAATAATTCTGCCAGTAGATCTCCAACACTGGCCCAATTTGCATTTTGAAGACACATACACCCTCCTGGTGCTGCCCTTCTGTCAGTGCAATAGTTGGCAAAGGACAACTGCTGCTTTCTGTCTCTCTGCTGACACTTAACTACTTCTCCACCAAATGCCCACTAAGACTTTTTCCTGTCCTTCCCAGTTTGTGTCCAGTACTGCTGGCTGTCGGTAGTAAAAGGACAAAGTGTTCCAGCAACCAAAGGCAAGCCATGGGCTACATCCTCCAGCTGTGGCAGAGACATGGAGGATGATGAATCTGAGCAATTCATTACATAATAAAACTCTGGTATCCAAAGGCCAAATTCCTTTCTGAACATCCAATCTGCTCTATTTTCTGTATATGATCCATCCATAAATTGCCAGCTCAGCCCACAGATGAGTAAAATTTAACTTATACAATAGCAGATGCTAGGGCACTTTTATTTATTTATTTTTCTTTTTTAAGGATTTCACAACAGTATAATGTAGTGTAGAGACAAATTACTGTCAGGCTAAATCTGCTTTCTGATCCCACCCCCCCCACTGCACATTCCTCAAATAAGCTGACACGTATTATTTCAGTGAAACAGTGATGTTACATACGCCTCTGTGTACACAGTGGGATCAGAAATTTGAATTATTTCAAGATGCTCTGATGCAGGCAAATGTTTGAAAGCATCTAAGTTTCAAAGTTCACTCACCCTCAAGTTTTCGCTAAACTTCAAGTTTACATGTCAGCTGCACTTTCCTAAACCTGCTCACTATCTTGTCCAGCAGGATGCTGTGAGGGAAGTATCAAAAGCCTTACTAAAATTAAAAAATCTACATGTACCACCTTCTCTTCATCCAAGAGTAGGTGACCTTGTTGCAGAGGGACATCAAATTAAGTGAACTCATGTTTACTGTGCCCAATGATTGTACTGTTCATTAAATGCCATTCAGTTGTACTCAGCATGATCTTTTCCATAAGCTTTCCAGGAGCTGAGAGGTTAGACTAAGAGGTCTGTAGTTCACTGACTCCTCCCTTTATACCCTTTTTGTATATTGGTCAGCAGGGACCTCCCCAGATACCCAAGACCCTTGGTAGATGGTCAAGAAGGGTCCTGCAACAATATCATCTAGCTCCTCCAACATTCTGGGATGAATCCCACTAGGTCCCATGGATTTGTAACTGTTCAGCTGATGCAGCTGGTCAGAGGAAAGCATAAAACTGAACTCATCAGAACTCATCCAAATTTTAAAAAGATAGCACTTTTCCTTAATTCTGTTCACCTACACTGAAAAGACACATTTCCAGACTTGCTCCTTACAAAATTCCCTTTAATAACTTCTAATTCTCCCATCCTTACTCTGCTCTGCTTGTTCTTATTGCTGTGTGATGCTAAGTCAACATTTCCTTTCAACCTAGATGACAAACCACTGGACAAATGAGAGGTGAGGATCTTCCCAGAGAAAATATGGCACAAAAATATAACAGCACTGTCATCAGAAAAGAAATGCATAATTTTAACAGCAACTCATGAAATTCTGTGTCTTCCTCCTGTGGTCATTTTAGCAAGTATGCATGTTATCCCAGACAGACTAGAAGAGGAACTTACCAAAGGGAACAATTTTCAGCATCTCATAAAAATGTAATCACTCATAATTCAAATTCAAGTATAGTTTTCCAAGCTACACTGATTAAAACTGTTTTGTTCACAGCAGCGAGGAAAAAACATGGATTTTTTCCAAGCCATTTTCTAAAAACAACCCTTGGGGCAGATTTTCACAGACATTTAGATGCCTAAAGACACCTACCAGCATTTTCCACAATTAGTTGTGAGTGCTATTAAAACCCAGACGACTATTTGCATTGTTGGGCAATGAAATGCCTCCAAACTCCAGCCCTCCATCCTGCAGCACATTACCTTGGACAAATTCCAGCACACAAATACTTGCATATAAAAATGTTCCATAACAGCTTATGAACAATGCCATAAACCCCAGTGATGCAGTAGTTAAATTTGGCACTAAACTACTGAGTAGGTCTATCAGAAAGAAGGAGGTACGTGCACAGCACGCTAAGGTTTATGCCCAAATGCTGCACTTGCTCACAGCATGTTTTCTGATCACCAAGAGCACTTCTGCCATGTTAAAGCACTTCAAGAACATCTTACAGAAGTATCAGCCACATCATATTGTTTTGTTCTGGTAATTAATTCCTTGTGCTCCTGGTAAGGGCAGGAGGAGATGTGACACTGGTAGAATGCTAAATTAAAAGTGAGCAAATTCTTTTTATCAGCAGACGTTACAAGCCACATTTATCTCCAAAAAATGTGGGAGATATTTTAGGGTTTTTTGCAAAGAGCTCTGAATTTGGAATCCTCCTCAATAATCACAAACTGTATTTTAGATCACTTATGCACAAGTTTTATGCAAGGTGTGTGAATAAACCTCTCACTCTTTGTACATTAGCAGTACTAGATTTAACCCACAGAAGCTACACAGTAAGCACAAACCTGCTCATAGATTAGGGTTTGACTTCCATTGTCCCCAGTTTGCTAGTGGAAGTTGAACCCACGTGAGTTTATTTATTTAGGAAAAAAGGTCTTCCATTTCTGTCAGGTTCTGTTGTTCAAATGAGAAAGCTCTAGTTTCTGCAACAGAAATGTCAAGCCTGTAACATGACAGGGAGTTACTACCTGCAAGGGATCACCAAAACCACAACCAACCAGTTTTTAATAGATGCAGCAGTATGGTTTGCACCTTCTACTTCAGCTTCCTAAACATAACAAGAGAATATAGTGAATTTAAAAACCAAGTGAATGTCATTTGTTCTATTTGTCCTATTTAAGCAAAATTAAAAAAAAGAATTCAAAAATGAAAAGAGAAGCAGAAAACTAAAAAGTAAAATATTTCATTTGTGGAAAGCCTTACAGGATAATTGAGTTGACACTAACAAAGGCTATTAGTACAAATTTATATAGAGCCATCTAGCTAATCCTAGTTGAAGTTACTATGACATACACAAACGTGCACAGAGAACCATGTGCATGCACAGATTCACAGCCCTGTTCAAGCTGAAAATCGCATTTTTCAAGTTGAGACTCCTCTGTGAGGTCAACAGCAACCTGATGACCCTTACTATTTTGTCAAGTCTTTGCCCATGCTGCAAGTCCCAGATTCAATGCAAGCAGTTCTGAGCAGCATACAGAAAGGCATTCTTTGTAGAGACCCCAGGAAATACATTTGCCTGGTAAACAAGTTTTTACAATAGAAATATTCTAGTTTTATTGCATATTGTGATGGAAAATACTACATTTCAGAGCATCGTGCAAGCTATGCTCATTTTAAATGTTAAATATAATAGGCATATAGCAAGAGATTTAACCTGCAAGTCCTCCAGTGGAGGATCCTTGAAGAGCAGTTCAGTTAGATAAACCTGGCCCCAAGAAACCAGACCATTCCAGCTGTACCAAACATGCGTTTACAAAGCAGATCACCACCATCCACTTGTCAAAGAAAAACCTTTTAAACTTGGAATCTCATAAGAAATATGTCTTTGCCCTTCAGAAATATGCTAGGTGGATTAACAGAAGAGTACATCTTAGCACAGGACAGATGACAATGGCAATTGTCAACTCTCAAACACTTTTTTTTTTATTTGAGAGATTTCTGATATTTTACATTGCTCTTGAGGCTACATTCAAATAAATTCATAGGTTAAATTCTGCCTCAAAAACAAACACCCACCTCTCATTCTAAGCCATTTAGTGAAACCCTCACTGGCACAAAACTTCCACTCACCAGTATAAATTATAATGCACATCATAAAACCAGAATTTGGCTGTGATATTGGCTCTTAAGAGGACACAGTCAAAAAATCATAATACCCAAGATATCACTCCCAGTAACTTCCGGAAGCCCAATCTGATATGTTATCAGAAAAGATTTTGTTTTCCTCATAAGTGCACCTGCTTGTTATTCTAGTGTCACTGCCATAATATTCTACATAACATTTTATTTAAATAACATTCTATACCAGGACAAATAAAAAGAACACAGGAATTCCACAGAGAATGCAACATGGAAAGCTAAGTTTTGAATCATACAATCTCACTGTACAAAAACAGGTTGTCACAGACTCGTGGTTAAACCTATTTTACTAGCTAACATCCTGTTGTGCCTCAATTCTGTAGCATCTCTGGAGATATCATCCTTTTACAGAGAACTGGTTTTATGCTACTCAGGGACATCAGAGAATTGTTCAGTGAAAGTTCTAGATTTAAGGTGGATGTTCTGCTTTTGATGCTGGTTTACATTAGGGATAGTTTTTGTGATATAAAGGATTCAATTTTCAAAAGTGAATGTGGTCTTTTTTGAGTACCTTTATTTTAAATTTTTCTATGTATAAAGCCTGATTTTCAACGTGATACATATGCTCAGCTCCAGGAAAGTTGCCAAGAATTACAGGTACTCAGCAACCACGAAATCAAACTTAGGGTTTGACACAAAGTTTCTAAAAACAGAATCACCCAAAATGCTCCTTGACATTGCTGTGGTTTATAGGCATCGTTAAATAACTTGTTTGTGTGTTCTTGTCTTTATGCCTGCACATATGCATCACTGACACTGCAGCCTTTAAATTTGAGCAACTTTAGCCAAAGCTGCAGGACTCTTGGTGAGGTATAAAACTGAATTATCTATAGGTAAAGTTAAGCATATCCATAAATAACTATATAAATTGAACAAAACTGTGCCTACAAAAAAATTAGACACCGAATTTTCTTGATTTTGTAGGAGTCCATTAATATATTATTAGTTTTACATATCGTATACACTCAGATATATACATATATTTTATCAGAAATGTGTGCTTACATACATACATATGCACACATGCAAACATGTTTACACTTATGTCACACACAGTCATATTCTCTTATCTACACACATTCAAATTCTTTATCTTCAAAGAAATGCCACCGTTTAATAAACACTGAAATTGGTTCCAGGTTCTCCATGATTTCAGAATTATAGAAAAAGTAACTTACATCTGTCATTGCATATGAAAAAAAAAATCTGGACTTTACAACCAAATTAAAATAAAAGGAAAGGCCACACACCCCCCATGCTACCAGCCTTCCAATTGGGAATCAAGATATTGGAATGAATCTGGTATAAATGCAAGAAGCAATGGCAGCATTTTGTATGACTATTTATTACAATAGATGTGAATCTTTTGGAAGATGAGTTAGTACCAATTTGTGGTGAGCAAAAAGTTCTTTCCTAGCCAGGTCACTGCTGAGCCCCTTTCCTCTTCTGCTCTAGCTCCTGCAGACGTTCCTCACGGCACTGAGCGTGTTGTGTTCCCACTTTGTGGGCTGTCTCGGTGGCTGCAATGTCAATCTGTGCATATCGGGATGATCCACTCCCTGAAACAGCAAAGGAAATCCTGTAAAAGACTAAACCCTTCATGTATTCCTGGGTAAAACTGGCACAGAGTTAAGCTATTGAGATGATGCTTCCACAGACTTCCTGGATGCTCTTGGTCTGGTCTTAAAGCAAGCTGTGTAAAGGGAGTACGATGATAACCACAACTAAAACAAAAATGCCTCAAAATGTTTGGAATCCACATATTTTAGCTATCTGGGTTTTTTTCCAACAAGCAAATGAACCACCCACATTTCTGCCCTAGGTTTGAATCTCCACTCCTACTCCTCCCAGTAGAAGGCAAAATTGAACTCAGTACTCCCACTTCTGGGAGGCTTCATCACCAAGCTACTAACTAGTCAGTAAATGAACAACATCTGGGATTTGAAGAGAAAGCACCTTTGGCATTTGGCAGGGCAAGTCCTTTAGCACTTCTTTGTCTGTACTAGGCACCCTGAGAACGTTTACCAGAGCAACCACCTTCTGCCTCACTCTGAATGACATTTCAGTTCATTTTTTACTAATAGGGGAGATAAAAGCTGCTGAGTCTGTTCAAGAGTAAAATAGTTCTATATAGGTGCAGATATAGAGGCTAGAGGCTGGGAAAACTAATATGAAAAAACAAAAAATTTATGGTCATTAAAGGCACCTTCAAAGTTACACAATTTGAACTTGGGAGAGTAGTTGACATTTAGGAAAGTTTATGGAATTTGACTCTTCATTCTTAATGCCATAGTTCATTGTCTTTAAAATTAATATAAAACATTGTTTTACATTTTAACAAGATGTTGTACAGAGAACTACATAAAATTCTGGAAGAAGCTTAGAATTACTTAATTAAAACCATGTAAACATTAAAAAACAGTGGGAAAAGTGCTAGCATTTCAAAGTTAATAAAATTGTAAAAAACAAAAGTTTAAAAATTCAAATCTCAATAGCTGAAAACTGTAGATGGAAAAACCATCAACACCATATGTGAACAACTAAATGCCCAATTCTGATTAGGGGCTTTCTATAAGGAGGACTGCATCTCTAAGTGACAATACATGGCAGCATGTTTTTGTGCTAGTTATCCAAGTGAAGCATTAGAAATAAAACACCCAAATCCAAACAAATACATTAATAAAAAATTATAAAATCAAATAATTTTGCTGACTCCCTCTCTGTAGCACTTTCACACATCCTCGTGGAGAGCAGATAGAAGAACACTGTGTTCTATTCTTAAGCATTTGCTGTTTGACTCCAGAGCCAGTGTCTTCAGGATCAAGCCCTGTACACTTACACCCACAGCACTGTTTCTGAAGCCAAACAGGAAAAATTAAGTATAGTCCTAATATGTGTGAGGAAAATCTTGAAAGCACAAACAAATTACTGTCTGTCAATTTCCACAGACATAGAAGTGTTCACTTTAGGAGAGCATATACAATGCACCTGTCAAAGGGATGCAACATCTTATAAATCTTAGAATCATTAAGGTTGGAAAAGACCTCCAAGATAATTGAGTCCAACCTTTTACCAAGCACCACCATGCCAACTAAACCATAGCACTAAGTCCCACATTTAGTAGTTTCCTGAACACTTCCAGGGGTGGTGACTCTACCACTTCCCTGGGCCACCTATTAGAGATGAAATTCTACCTGATGCCCAGCCTGAACATCTCCTGGTGCAGCTTGAGGCTATGTCCTCTTGTCCTGTTGCTAGTTGCCTGGGAGTTGAGGCCAACCCCCAACTGGCTACATCCTCCTTTCAGGTAGTTGTAGAGAGTCATACGGTCTCTCCTGAGCCTCCTCTTCTCCAGGCTAAACAATCCCAGGTTCCCTTAGGTGCTCCTCATATGAAACTAAAATTCCCCATACCCCCTATATTCTGCATTACTGCATCCTTTGCTGTTTAAATTGTGTTGTAGAGTTCCTTACCTCTTATGCTTGTGCTAGGTTCTTGAAGCTCCAGTTCCATGTAATGAAGCTGTTTCTTGGAAGTAGGACTGACAGGAATATTAACATAGGTGGCTGTCTCACTGTGAGGTCGATCTGATGTAGGGACATCAGCTGAATAACCTACTGCCCCTTCTAAAACAAGTAACATGTTATAATAGACACTGTTTGTAATGACTAATGATCCATTTCATACAAACACACGGAAAGCAAATATTGGGCAGCAACAACTCTGCTTGCTGAACAGTACATTCCTCAGTGGTAGATGGGACTACAGTTTCTACGTGAAAAGATCCTGAAAGACTGATCAAGTCAGGATCTATGCAGAAGACCATAGACCACAATCAGGGATCTTGCTGTGTTGTGGCAGCAGAGCAAACACTAGGCAGACATTTCCCAGCAGCAGCAACATTTGCAGCACTACCTTTCAAGACTTCCAGCTCTAGCTTGAGTTAGTAAAGCTTTATATGAAGTAATTTGTTTTAGGAAGATGTGAAGTATTATATCATCTGCAAGACAGCAACCAAAATCACTAGAGGTTCAGAAAGCATGGCCCAAAACCAGGGACTGAAGAACTGTTTTGAGTAAAGGGAACACAAACTTGAGACAATGTTGACAGCTTCCCTGTACTGAACTGAAAAAGATAGGAATGATGCCTAATGGGGACAGACTAAGTAATAAAAGACTTTCAATGAAGGAAAAAAGGATAAGACAGTGGGAAAACCTTTCTAAATAGTAAAACTCACAAGACACTCAAGGAAATCCCAGAGATTCCTGGAAAATTCTAAAAAAGAGACAAACACCTAGCAAGAAACAGTTCCTATAAAGTGATTCTGACTGAAAGACAACATTTTTGTCAATTGGATTAGGTCACAAAATGTCTTCTAGCTCTGCATTCAATTATTCCAGTCTTGTCTGCCTGTCCTGTCCAGTTGGAGTCCTTATCCTTAAACACTTTCTGCTCTTAAGTCAGTTTGAGGCAGAGGAGCACAGAAGAAAAATGGTACCACTTTCAGGTTCTCCCTTTCCCATTAAGCCCTTCCTTGTCCCCACATAAAATTTATTTCAAATCTTTATTTGTCCAGCTGATGCTTTCCTTTTTTGCCCATCTAGACAGTACTGAGGTGTGAATAGTGAGGCAGTTGGATATCAGGGCATTTTAGAGCATATCCAGACAACAAGAGCTATGAATAACCGTTGAGGAAAACTCTTTCATCCTCTTGGAAGTATGAATAGCAGAGATACTTCATATAAAGTTAGATAACAGTAAGGGCTTGTTTGAGGATAATGGAATCTCCCCAGGGTTAAGCTGTTTAAATCAAAGGAGTCTACTATGCAGTGCAAAATTTTTAAAGCTTGGAAAGTTGGCCAATTTTCTCACTAATTTTCATAAAGAACATCCATAAAGTAAACAAATATTTTCCTGAGAGTCAGACTTCAAGTTGTTGTTTTTCCAAAGCCAGATGTTGAGAAGAAAATGAAAAATATTAATGCAGAATCAAACAGAATAAATTTCTGTGTCTTCATCAAACATCATTTTAAGAAATTCATCTCAATTATTCTGTCTAAAGTATTTAAAAGGAATTTGGTCTGACTGTGCCAAAAGGGATTCAGCAGAATCATAGCATTGTAAACCTGCTTCACAAATAGTTAGACGTTGTAAGCAAATGGGAATCTTAAGGACTAATACAAAGTCATGAACAGTCATGAAGGAAAAGATAATTTTTGAAGTCTCTCTGTACACTGTAAAAATTATGTAGCAGGAATTTAAGTGAAGTGTCCTCAAAGCTAGCTAGCATGAAAACTATCAAGCTTCTCTACAGAGATAAACCATTGACAGGTTTCAGGAAGCTGAATGTCATACCTGATGTAGACAAGCAAAGTGATTTTCCTGAGAACTAGAAAAGCACACATGGAGAATAATGTATTAATTGGTAGGGCTTTGTGTAAGAAAAGCAAAAGAAACACCCAGAAAAAGAAACCCCTGGCAACAATCAAATGTTCTTCTCTAAGGAAGAAGAAGGGAAAAAATCCCACAAGAACAAAGCTGGGCAAACTGGAATGGAAGGAAGGGAAGAGTCTTCTGTTGTTCAGTCAGTGCTGTCTTAACAGAAACTGTTCTTTCTTTGTAAACAGAGAAATACTTGGCCTTTCATTTTTCCTTTAAAAAAAACAACACCCCCCCCAAAAAAACCAAACAACCCACCCTGAAAGCAAAACCCTCATTAGGCACTGAAAACTGGCTTATATTTGTTTGAAGAGAAAGTTTTATTTAAAAAGCACAAGACAGTCAAAAGTTCCTACTTAGAAAACAAGGCACACACAGAGCCCCATGCACAGACAGTGCTTTCAGCAGTCTGTTCAGGGTGGACAGAGGCAGAAGATGCTAACAAGAGGGGTCAGAGGACCAACACTTGAGAACATTATGAAAGGAGAATTTGAGGGGAAAAAACCCCCAGATGAACATGCATGGTTGCAACACTCCGAAAGAATTGATAGAATATCATGATTGCTTGAAAAGAAAGGGGGAAAATGTAGGAATCAAAAGAGATAGTTAAGTAACAGGAGAAGAGTAGAAGTGAAAATTCAGTGGCCCTGAACTGGAGGGAAAAGAAAGGAAGAGAGTCTAATTGGGAAGAGAAGAAAATTATATTTGAAACTGGTGTTTTACCCTTTCTTTCAGCAAGTGTTAGTCATTCATATTTTCTACCCAATGCAGGCACCATTCTCAGAAATGCACAATAACACAGAAAGAAAACCAGCACTGTAAGCACAGCCCAAAGATAAGTGTGACTATGCATGTAAAGCTGGCATGCTCAAAGGGCAACACTGCAAAAACAAACACTTAGAAGAGATCTAAAAAAAAAAAAAGAAATAGGAAAAAGAAACAGGAGATGTTAGTGTCCTCTGATGCAACTGGTTGCAGAAATCTGTACTCACCAAGTTCCTCAGAGCTAGTTGGTGTTCCAGGTTCTGAAGGAAGTGTTAGCATCTCATATCCACCTTTAGGACCTGGGATACAGCAGCATTGTTAATGGCTTTGGATTTAGGAATTTGCACAATGTAATCAAAACATATGATGTTCTGGTTTTGACTTGCAGCCTTCTAAACTAAACAATCATAGGGAACAATCTCAGAAAGTGTAAACAGTGGCTAGTGTTGACTTTTCTGTAGTGCTGATGCCAGCATTTTCTAATGAGTGTAACACCAAGGAAATTAACTTTAGGACATTTTTGCAAGTATTCGCACTGCAGGCCACTGAAGTCAACAGTGCATTTTGCTGTACATTTGATGTGGGAGCAGAGCTGTCTTGAACGCATGAATCAGGGAGCAGTGTGTGGGTGATCTTGGGAGCATCTGGAAGACTCTTGTTAAAATTCCACCTCCAGCACGATGGATAACTTCTTGATTTCTGACAAGGCTCTGAGGAAAATGCTTAAACTAGCCCTTCCAAAGATAACTTTGCTTTCCAAGTACAAATCATCATCTTTGCAAGAAGCCAGGTTGCACAACATAATTGGTCCTTCCTGAGCACTAATCTGAAAAAGATGTCCAGGTTTCTTCATAATCTCAGACTCCTCCCCAGTTCAAACAAGGCAAGCAAAAATGCTGTGTCCATAGAATGAACATATTGCAATTCATTTTGAGTGACAAACACTCATCATTTTATCTGCTGGTGGTGGGCTTTTTCTCCATTAGCATGAAAAAGTATTATGTAAATGTGGTGGGTGTTTTTCCCACCAGATCATTGTTAGGGTACAGGATTTCTCATGGCCTGAGGTGAGGTTTTTTTGGTGTGTGCCCTTTGTTAAAGTGCTGGCAGCATTTTACTGCTGTGAATAAGATTACTGCCTATACTCTGACACTTATCTCATCTGTCACTGCCTCTTCTAAACTTATCCCATCTGTCAATGCCTTTCTAACAAAAACTCCCCAAAGCACAAAGCCCAAAGAAATGTGTAAGCCTTACAATAGGGAACTAAATCATACGTTACCTTTAATATTTTATGAAGTTTAAAATAATTTTAGTTTAAATTAGTTTAAATTTACATGCACACACATACCTCATAATCACTTATACTTACCACCTTGGAGACTGTGCCCTCTATGCACTTTCAAAGACCCAGAAGCTGCCATGACAGAAGCACCACCTGTTTTCAGAGATTCACATTAAGTCTAAATACCTGTTGCTATTATTAGATATCTGCTGTGCATCAGCATTTTTAGTAGATGTCTTTGAAACATCTAGAAAAATTTCACAAAGAATTAGAAGTCGTTATTCTTCATTTAGGCAATTTTCCTTTTTATTTTTTCTGAATTCTTTATCCTGAGTTCGTGGCATCAAAATCTAATTTTCTTGTTTTCTTTCTTTAGAAAGAAAGAATGCTTTCAATAAAACCTAAGGATGCTGGCCTCCCTTTTTGTGCACCTTCCTCCCAGAGAGAGCTGTATTGAGCTAAGAAGTAAAATGCCAGCTGAGTGGGGAATTGCCTTTGCAATCCATAATGTAGCTTCAGCAAGAACAAAATTTACAATGGTCATTAAAATCTGATCAGACTACATCTAAAACCTATTGAAATGAAAGAAGAACTGTGTCACACTTCAGTAGTCCACCATCCATATTTGGACATGCATAAGCTAGGAGAAGGGTAAGCAAAGGATCTAGCTACCATGGAGGTTGAATCCAGGTCATAGCAGGTTCTTGTGAAACTCCTTCCCATGTTAGAGTCAGGAAAGCCTTACTGAGGCCATGCCAGATCATAGAATCATAGAATTTTAGGGGTTGGAATGGACCTTACAGATCATCTAGTTCCAAACCCCCACCAGACAAGGATGCTTAAGGCCCCATCCAGCCTGGCCTTGAACACTACGAGGTTTGGGGCATCCACCACGTCCCTGGGCAACCTGTGCCAGTGTCTCACCACCCTCACAGGGAAAAACTCTTTTCTAATATCCAACCTAACCTTCTCCTCCTTCAATTTGAACCCATTACCCTTTGTCCTATCATGGCAGTTCCTAATAAAGAGTCCCTCTCCAGGTCCCTTGTAGGCCCTGCAGATATTAAGAAGTTGCTATGAGGTTTCCATGGAATCTTCTCTTCTCCAGGCTGAACAACCCCAACTTCCTCAGCCTGTCTTCATAGAGGAGATGCTCTGGTCCTCTTATCAACTCCATGGCCTCTTCTGGACTTGCTCCAACAGTTCCATGTCCTTCATGTGTTGAGGGCACCAGAACTGCACACAGTATTCCAGGTGGGGTCTCACAAGAGTAGAGTAGAGGAGGAGAATCACCGCTTTTGACCTGCTGCCCACATTTCTTTTGACACAGCCCAGAATTCGATTGGCTTTCTGAGCTGTGAGTGCACAGTGCCAGCTCATGGTGAGCATCTCAATGATGGCACAGCCACTCTCCTTTCCCCAGCCTGATTCAG